TCATTAGACTCTTAATTCCAGATATTTATTGAATTTAAATTCCACCATCTGCCTTGGTGGGATTTGAACTTGGGTCCCCAGAATATTATCTCGGTCTCTCAGTTAACAATACAGTGGATAATACCACTAGGCTATCTCCTCCCCCTATTTGTTACAATGAGAGAGTTGAGGGTGAACGGCTTACAATAATGATGTGGAGTGGATATGTGGGAGACAGGTGAAATATGATACAGGTAATGAACATGGAAGAAAAGTTTGCAAATATTAAATACAACGGTCACAATTGATTGTTGACATGAGCAATAATTAGCAACAAACAGGGTAGGTGATGGCTTAGTGATATTATCGCTAGACTATTAATCCAGAGACCTAGGTAATGTTCTGGGGACATGGGTTCGAATCCTGCCATGGCAGATGGTAGAATTTGAATTCAGTAATAATCTGGAATTAAGAGTCTAATGATGACCGTGAATCCATTGCCGATTGTCAGGAAAAATTCCATCTGGTTCACTAATATCCTTTGCTGTAGGGAATCTGCCGTCCTCACCTGGTCTGGGGCCTTCATGTGACTCCGGACCCAACTGCAATGTAGTTGACTCTAAACTGCCCTCTGGGTAATTAGGGATGGGCAATAAATGCTGGCCTAGCCAGCGACACCCTCATCCCATGAATGAATAAAAAAAACTTCATCGTTTACTTGGTTAAAAGTCAGAATATAGCACGTTTTCTTTTCAACATCTGGCTCTTGTTCCCAACAGTGTGGATGAAAATGTATCTTTGTTTAATGACTTCTACAGGGAAAACCCAGGTGCAATAAGAGCCTTGTGTATTCCATCTGGATCACATTCACTTCAGGATGTAGTTTCACAGCAACATTAGGGACTCACTTTATGTAAAAAAATCTCAATATTTTCTCTTTATTTTGACAGTTACATTGATCACCTCTACTAGAACAGGATTTCACAGTACCTTGAAAATGTTTATCCAGAAATGCCTCCAATACTATTCTATCCTCACTGGAGTTGGAGTGCCTGGTATGTACTATGTTCCTTTGAATTTTATTCTCAGTAGAGGTGTTGATCTCTAAGCCTTTGAGCTTTGCTCTCATTTAGGCATCTCCACTATTTAAGTTGTTTTTACTTTCAGAACATTTTGTCTTCTCTCTTTTATTGACATTGTCTTCTGTCCAACATATTACATCCTTCATGCTATCAATAAAGGTTGCATTCCCTTATCATTAGTCATTACTCCTCTTCTATCTTCTTTTAATCTCAATAATGTCATGTCCTTTGATCAATTATACCCATGTTATTGTTGACTCTTTTACTCACTTCGATTCCTGGTGCTGTCTTATGTTTTACTCTTTCACAGTTTTACTATTGGCTTTATCTGTTCTTATGAAATCTCTAATCTTGATTTCTTCTCTAATACACTGTTTTATATGAGGCATCTGACCTTTCCAACTCTCTTTTATCGTTGTTGTTGTTGCCTTCCTTCTTACTTTATTTAGTTTATTCATTGTGTTTGTTTTTTTCTGCTTCCTTTCAATCTGGCTCTCCTAACTCCTTCTATAGTTGTTGTCTCTCTTCTGTGAAGATTTATGCTGACTGCTAACCAATTTTACCTCTCATACTGGATCGATGGTGGCTAGAGAAGTATAACCTAAAGGCTAAGAAAAACATGTTTGATGTCCAACTGTGATTCTGCAATTTGTAAAGACTGTGGGTATCAAGAAGAATCATCAGGATCATCCCAGCAACATTGAAATGCTTTCCCAGCGATCCTTACATCCAGAAACCATTTCTGCCTCAAACTCTGTGCTTGTGTGTGTGTTTCTGCATAAGGGGAAATTATGATGTGTTTGGCATTTAACGCTACCAGCTAAAACACTAAAGTTTATAACTATTTACTTGTAACAATGTTCTATTGCTTTCTAATAAGTAGCAATTATCATTAAAACTAGTCTGTGCTTTCTGGGTCTAAATATCATGCAAATTGAGGAATGTTGAGAACCTTAAAAAAAGTTGTAACTATTAACAAAGACTTCAGGAACAAGGGCTTGATGTGAGCACTACCTCAGTGAACCATGACAAATTCATTCCACCAGAATGACTAGCACCGCCAGCATAGCAGAGCAGAACACAGAGAAAATATGATGCCGATGCCAATGCCATGCCTGATCACACATAATTGGTAACTACAACCTGTTATGCTAGTGTTTTCTTTTCTACTTCTCACAGTGAACGTGGTGGCAATTGTGATCCTGAGTTGTGGGAAATGCAGTCTCACCAAACACATCACTCACTGGCTGGTGGCCACAGTGACAGCAGATTTCATGGTGATCGCTACAATTTATTAGAGAAACTCTATGCTGCTGTGCATTCTTGTCTGTACATTTATTCTATTCATCCCATCGACTGCCGTAGACATTTCTGTCTGGTTCATGGTCGCCTTTACCTTTGATCGTTGTGTAGCCACTTGCTCTCAGAAGCTGAAATCAAAATATTGCACAGTGAAAACTGCTGTTGTGGTGACCATTACAATGAGCTTGTTCTTCTGTTTGAAGAAAAATATTCCCTGGTCCTTCTTGCATGTTCCTAATGCTATAGCAAACAGTATACCATGGGGTTGTTTTGTAGCACCAGTAACTTATTTTCAATCTGCAACAATGGCATTTTCTTAGATTGGGAATTAAAAAATATTCATTCTTCTCAATTTTAGATTTGAACATCCTCACTGCCAGGCACAGTTTAGTAGCCAGTCACACCCAAAGGAACCTCTGGGTGTGTAGAAGGTCTATTGCTTTACTCTTCACAGTATCCGGCAGCTTTATCAAGCTCTGGATAACAACAGTTACATGCATCTTTCTTCTCTCATCTCTATTTAGCCCTTATGAGATTTATGAAGAGACAGGAATTCTGTTTCAGCTTCTGAGCGACTGCACCAACACTGCCATTTATGCAGTGACCCAGAGTACGTTCAGATTGGAGCTGCTGTATGCCCTCAAATATCCCTTTACTCTCATTTGTAAGCGAGCTCAATAGGGAAACATGTTACAAGAAGGATGGACCAATTTTCCTCAACATCTCAGCTCAAGTCCATTTCAAATTGACCATCTACTGTCATCAAAGCACTTCAAGCATGTGAAGAACAATGTTTCCCTTAACACTATAATTTGCCAACAAAGTTAGATTAAATCCAAATTTAATCCCACAAATTAAACACGTTGCAATAGTATCAAGATGATGGCAGTACCAGGGCACAAAGTTTTGGGCTCTACGCCTCTATGCTCCTGTGGGTGGCCACTTTTTTTTTGTTGTTTTGTTTCTTCATTTCTCTTTTGTATTAAAGTTCACCTTTTCTGCAGCTGCTGTGGAGGAAGGTGATAACAGCCTAATACAACGCCAGCAGTATGTTGGCTCTGGATGTCCATCCTGGTGGCCATAGTTTTAGCGAAGATTTCATCGTCAGTGGGTCTGGTCCATCCCTCCTGGTGGCTGTTCCAGCAGCAGCTGTCTTGGCTGCAGCATGTTGGCTCTGGTTCATTCCTCACGGCTACGGTGGCAATGTTACCCCTTCAAGTGATGGTAACTTGGTGGGTCTATTCTGTCCCTCCTTGCTATGGTGGTAATGCAGTGGCTTCAGCGAGGTGGATCTGGTCCTGAAATCCTTGTTTTGGCATCCTCAGCAACAGTGTCCCATAGCCATTCCATAAACCCAGGGGCCGCAGATGGAACAAAAGATGAACTTTGTCTCAAATACTTTTTATAATTTCTGAAACTAAATTGGCACCAAATTGTGACAATTTTTACACATCTCAACTTTATAAATACAAGTGATAATAAAATACTATTCTAGTCTTTTGCACACGGGGCTATCTTTCAGATCATTTTGCAATAACAGCCTCAAAATAGTGACTCCAATTGAAGGGTTGTGAGTTAAGCACTGGATACTTATTCCCAATGGATTGATGGAAAATTGAGCCGCATCTCACATCTATGGGATAAATTCTCATTTTGACCCAATTCCAAGCCCCCTTAGGGTATTCTTCAAATTTTTGCTCCATGTTAATGCAACATTGGCCATTCCCACCTTACTGAGAAGAACCAATATCAAAAACAGAGTGAAGGAATATTTCAGCTTTCCCAAAAACATACCAATGTTTTTTTTTCCAGAAAAAAAAGGAAAAGCAAATAGCACCTGTCTAAATTATATCCATTCTGGTGACTAAAATAATGGAGCTCAGCAGGAGAGGTGACTGTTTCTTTCCTTTTGAGTGGAGAGGGGTGATCTGAGAAGGATGATGTCACTGGAAGGTAGTGACCAGAATAAAGGTAGAACTGCAGGTTCGCTGGACTTTGCTTTCTCTTCAGATCACAGTTTATCCAGCATTTCAGTTTTTGTTTCACATTACGGCAGAAAGTACATTTTCAGAATGGGAGAGGGGCCATACAGTTTTAGAGTCTAAATGTCTACTTAAATTTTATTATCTGATTTAGGGGGCCTAACTCCATGTTCACCACATTTCCCTTCTATTGGTTAACAAAAAAAAAAAAAAATTAAGTTTGTGTGGTAAAGTTACTAATTCATTTAGAATTGCCATGGGCAGAATTCCAATTTCTAATACTCTATTGAAGAAATCTGTCCACTTTCACTGGGAAGGTGACTTTTTTTAAAAATTTCTGTTCCCATGTTGCTCACTGGGAGTTGGAAGAACACCTTTTAGCATTAACATAATTGCTAATATGAAGCAATCTTCCAAATTACACAGTGCAAGCCTAGCTCATGTTAGGATATTTTAAAACAAAATAAATTAAGCCAGGACAGTTGGAACTAATTGAAATGTCACAAATGTAATTTCCTGGGGAGCTGAGACTTTTTCCTTCTGTTTGTGCATTATTCTTGGTTACAAGCTGTGTCTCAATAATATAGATTAACTGTGATGCTGTAGTTAATCAGAAGGTCGGAGTGCAGGGCAAAAAAAAAAAAAAAAAGTCCAATTTTGCTTTTTCACAAAAGATTAAGTTTATTAATCTTACATTTCACTATGATATGGAATTCATCAGACACAGGTAGTCTGAAACAGACTAGAAACACTGGGTCAGACATTGCTGATTACGTGGACAGTGGAGCTCAGTGCATTCTGGATGCATTGCCAATAACGTTAGAAAAGTAATCAGAATAGTTTAGTTTATCATCATGCCCAGTCTCACCTATAGCTGCACTCAGTGAAGGGTGTTTTTCCCCCCCAATTTTACACAAACCTGGGGAGATGCCAGTATTAAACTAAAGATCTTAAACTATCTACTGAAAGGAAACCACAGAGAGAGGGGCACCATTGTCTCCAGTGTCATTCAAGCAGGGGCAAAAGTAAGGGAATATTTTCTCTGTAAGTGTCTCAGTAAACGTGTAGAGATGAGCAAAGTCATCAGCATTGTAAAAGGACACTTGGCCTCCCTCATAGTCCACATAAACACCAATCCGACTGGGTCCCCCACTCGGCTGCAGGGGAGTGACAGTGGGGGACGTCAGAGCACAGTACTGCCCTCCATTGGTCAGGGAAATTGCCAGGTATCCATTCTCAGGCTTCAAAGCAATGTCCCCCTTCCTGTTAATGGATTCTCTGGCTACACCCAGGTCCCATTTGGACTTGCTGCTCACTTCCACCTCCCAGTAGTGTGTGCCAGATGTGAAACCCTCCGTTGCCAAGACAGACACACACACGTCAAACCTGGCTGGGCCATCAGGGACAATCTGCTTGGTTTCAGTGACAGTCACACTGGTCAGGTCCTCCGATAGCAGGAGCCAAGGGTTTGCTGTTTGAGGATCCAGGGTCAGACTGAGGGGAACTGCACAACAAACAAATGCAAATGAGATGTGCCAAGTGGATTAAACATCATTGGGAGAAATGCTTAGGAGGGACAGTAATCACTGCATTGGATATCTCTAATACAAGTCAGTTCAGCAATGGTTATGATTCACCTCTGTACTTGAGACTTTAACCCAGGCCTCCTGGCTCAGAAATAGGGGCACTACCACTGTGCCACAAGTCCACACTGAATTATAATGTTAGTGAAAAGAAGAACAGTACACAACCTGTACTGAAAAGAATGAAGTGAGAAAGTCAACTGCAGCAGGGGCTAAGAACAGATAGATAAATTACAGTAAATCCTCACTTATAGTGGTTATGTTCTGGAAAAAAAAACACAATTAAGTGAAGCACACATTTCCAGTGGAAACAATGAAAAAGCCAGAGTACAGTTCCAGTGGACACTTCTTGATCAGAAAAGTGACTGTATAAGTTGAAACACTGCACTGCAGAAGCCTAGCTGAAATATTGTAGTTACCAAGTCTGCCTCCTTAAACTACAGCCTATATTTCTCACCCAACTAAACAAGAAAAAGCTGTCTGAACTTGTATACAGTAGCAAACAAGCCAGACTTCATTTGCTCTTGTCTCATCCACAATAAATAGACTTCAAAATTGCAATCAGCTTGCATCAATAAATAGGTCTTTCATTTAAGGGGAACTGTACAGACCAGCCTCCTTGCTTACAAGGAGACAATGAACTCTTGCTTTGGGTATGGTACAGATCTTCTTTCCTCTGAACTTTGGCTCCTGTTTTTTCCACCCCCCACCATCCCCACACACCCCCAACCCCCGCCAAACCAAAGATCAACATTGGCTCAAAAATCATACATCTTTTACTACAGGGCACTATGAGAAAGCATTACTGTGAAAGCTCCACTGTGTAATGCTGCACTAAAAATATGCCAGACAACTTGTACACCATGCAAGTGAAGAATCACAACATAGGCAATGATTTAAGTGTACCAGGCATATATTCCTTCATAAACAAGGGAAAGCAAGCATAGTTCTGTTTGATAAGGGGTAGAAAAGAAGAAAATAAAGAAATTTAAAAAAAGGCTTCTGAATGATATCAGGTAGAAAATAGATTAGAGAAGCAGATAGCATGTAGTGAAAAAGCAAAAAAAGAGAAAACAAAAAAGAAAGAGAGAGAGCGTGAGAGAAGAAGATACTGGCAGCTAAAAAAGGAAACCCAAATTTTCTGTATGCAAATAAAAAGGCAAGCTGGCAAGAGGATGATCAGGGACCAACAGATGGACATGGAGGTAGAGAGCACAGCTGATGTACTAAATAAAAAACTTTGCATCCACTGACTGAAGATGACATCACCCTGGCCATTGTCAAAAAGGGAGAATTTGGTTGCTAGGAGTACTTAAAAATGGAGAAGGATCTGTACAGTTGGAAAAGGGACTTTACCAGATGGAATGCATTTAAGGATGTAGGGAAACAAGAATGGAGACTGCAGAGCCACTAGCTATTTCATCTTTGTTAGACTCTGGACATGACCATAGAACTTGAGAATCACAAATATTATGCCCTTGTTCAAAAGAGACTAGGTGCAAGGACAAGCTAAGAAACTACAGCCCAGTCAAATTTCAATTGTTGGGAAATTAGGAAAATAATTCAGAACAGAGCTAAATGTACAAATGTGGGTTAATGTGAGCCAGTCTGGATTTTAAAGATTCAAAAAAGAGTTAGAATAATATACGGAAGTTACAATGTTGATCAAAACAATGTTGTTGCTGCAGTATGCATGGACTTCCAGAAGGCATTCTAAGAAGTGCCACATAGACTTGAATGATTTAAGATCATGGAATAAAACAGGTAGTGATGACATGGATACGAAGATTGGCAGCAAGATAAGAAACAATGATGGTTAATGAACATTTTATAGGCTGCAGGAATGCTTGTAGCAAGATACCTAGGGTTCAATGTGGAGCTCCTCAGTTCCCTCACGTACATTAGTGATCTAGATCTTGTACACAGCACAAGTTTCAAATTTTGGGGACTAGAGAAAACACAGGAGCATTGTAAATTATGAAATTCAGACAGACAAGACTGTGGAGTAGGCAAATTAAAGTTCAATGTGGTAAAGAGAAAGGGGATAGATTTTAAGAATCCAATTCCAGTCTTATTTAGGAGACCTACAGTGTGGAAACAGGCCATTCAGCCCAACAAGTCCACACCAGCTCTCCGAAGAGCAACCCACCCAGACCCAACCCATCCCCTACCCTCTAACCACGCCCCCCCATTGCTAAGCCACATATCGCTGGACACTAATTTAGCACGGCCAATCTACCTAACCTGCACATCTTTGGACTGTGCAAGGAAACCAGAGCACCCAGAGGAGACACGGGGAGAATTTGCAAATTCCATGCAGACAGTTGCCCAAGGGTGGAATTGAACCTGGGACCCTGAGAGGCAGCAGTGCTAACCACTTAGCCACTATGCTACAAGAACATTGGGAGACTATATAAAGGTAAAACACATCAAGCAGGCACAAGTCAGAGGAACCAGGGTGTAGGTCACGTGTTTAAAAAAGTTTGCACAGCAGGTTGAGAACAGTTGAAGCATACTGTTTATTAATAAAGTCAAAAAGATAGAGTACACAAGAGCAAGGATGTTATTTGAAAGTTAGACAGTAGCTTGACCACAACTGGTGTATATTAGAGAATTGAGTGCTCTCCTTTAGCAAGGATAGAAGGGCATGAAAGAATGAAGATGTTTTCAAGGTGGTTTCCAGGATGGGGAATTACAGTTATAAAGACAGGTCACAGATGTTGGAAGGGTTTTAAAAAAGGTAGAAAGGCAGAAAGGCAATATAACTGAAGTATTCAAAGTCACAAGTGGTCAGGACAGATCAAAGAAAATATTGCCACTCATGATAGGGTAGAGAACAAGTGGATCCAGATTTACGGTAATTCAAGAAGTGGAAGAAAAATTATACAAGATAATTTTTTGTTTTTTTTTAAAAAAAAAACCAGCAAGTTGTTGGTATCTGGATTACAATATCAGAGTGTTTTGGAGGCAGTTTCATAGAACCGAGTATGGAAAGAGACCATTTTGGCCCATTAAGTCTGTACCTAAAGAACATTCCACAGAGAACCTCCACCCACCTTATCCCTGTAACCCTGCATTTCCCATGGCCAATCCACCTAACTGGCACATATTTGGGCTGTGGGATGAAGCTGAAGCACCTGGAGGAAACCTGTGCATACGTGGGAAGAATGTGCAAACTCCATACAGTCACCCAAGGCTGGAATTGAACCCATATGCCTGGCACAGAGGCAGCAGTGCTAACTACTTTGCCACCATGTCACCCCAGTTGAATAAAGGCATCCCAAAGGGAATTTGTCACCTTGAAAAGGAAGGATTTAGTTGTACTGGGGAAAAGTTAAAGATTTGCTTGACTAATAGCTGGAATGGAGGTGGTTTGGAAGGGGAGTCAGGGCTGTATTAAGTTGGACAGGCTGAGCTCATATCTGTTTGCATTAGAAGCAAGATAATTTAATTAAAACATACAAGATCCTGGAGGGGAATAGACAGGGGAAAATATAAAGGAGATGTTTTCCCCCAAAACAGGGCATCACCAAAGAGGAAAAACAGGCAACTGTTCACTTGAAATGGCAATTTGTTTTTCTTTCAGGAAGGTCATGAGTCTTTAGACTTCTGAGAGAGCAAGAGATGGAAGTATAGTACTTGATATTATTCCCCCCAAGCAGAAGTAAAATCAATCATTTAAGCAGGGTTGGGAGGGGGGGGAAGAGAGGGGTTTGGTGGTGAAAGGTCATCAGGAGTTGGTACAAATGTGGATTTGGAGTTGTAAATCAGATCAGCCATTTTGTTGGCTGGCCAAGCAGGCTAGAGGGACAGGATGGCCTATTCCTGCTACTTGCTGGCATGTAATTGCTCTTCGCTGGGGTGAAGCATCTTCTAGTTCAACTGGGACTCCAGGTGGGGTGGACAAGTCAAATAGTTACACTAGTTTCCTCTCTGGGGAGGAGGCTAGCCAATTTTGGGAGACATGTTCAGAGGATATTTTAAAAAGAAGTCTCTAGTCAAAAAAAAACATTACTCAAATCTGAGTGCCGACTGTTCAGAAAGCAAAAACATTTCTTATGGAATGAACTTCCAGAGGAAGTGGTAGATGTGGGTTCAGTTTTTTTTTTTTAAAATTCATTTGTGGGACATGGGCATCGCTGGCTGGCCAGTACTTATTGCTTGTCCCTAGTTGCCCTTGAGAAGGTGGTGGTGAGCTGCCTTCTTGAACCGCTGCAGTCCACCTGCTGTGGGTTGACCCACAATACCATTAGGGAGGGAATTACAGGATTTTGGCCCAGTGACAGTGAAGGAACAGCAATACATTTCCAAATCAGGATGGTGAGTGGCTTGGAGGGGAACTTGAAGGTGGTCACGTTCCCATATATCTGCTGCCCTGGTCCTTCTAGATGGAAGTGGTTGTGCATTTGGAAGATGATATGGAAGTATGATACTATGGCTTGGAAGTGTATTTTGTCTGGTTTTAAATCGGGAAAAAGAGGTTGAGACAAAAAGGTGCCAATCAGTATATTCAACTAATAGAGTAAACAGCTTGAGAGTTCTATTTTTAAAAAAAAACCCAAGTGTTGAAATAATAGAAGCAATCTCCCACAGAACCAGTAGCAGTTGTGGTTTTGAAGCTGCAGCATCTCTTCCCAATACTGTTTGCTTTTGATATCTTCTCCTGGTCTGCAGAATTGCATGAGAGACAACCTATTTCACTGAATTTGCCTTTGTCAAAGATGCAGTTGTGAAATGTTACTATATTACTAGCGTTTAGCAGTTACATAATCTATTATTCTGTTCATTTTTCCAATAGAGTTACATTATTCCAATTTCTTACCTATTTACTGTATTTTAACTATCATATGAATAAAATGGGTTTTGCTTCAAGACTGGGAGCTTGACCAATCAAATTGTATCCAGAATACAATGCCTGGCACTTGCCAGACCAAAGGGTCTGTTTCTGTGCTATATGACTCCAATGCTACAAGACCAGCTCAAACTCAAAACCTTCCTGGCTTCAGCTAGCAGTCCATACCCACTCAGACTGTGAAAAGACCACTGATCACAATCTGTTGCTACAATTGTTAATTACACTGCTAAAGTTCTACACGACAACAATTTCATTACTGCAGCTCCAATTCAATTTGCTGGATCACCCAAACCAAAAATCAGCTTGGCTACATGCCATAAAGACATGTCATGGAAGAGGGTTGACTGACAAAATTAGATTATCTCTGCCCCTTCAACAATGAAGGGCTGGTCATGGGAAGAGCCAACATCTGGTATACCAGACTTTCAGCAGCACTAATGGTTACTCAGCTGTATCCTTGGATCTTACTTCAGTTAATATCCATAACTGGAGTTACAGGAGTCCAGGTAATAAACCTAATCTCACCAAGACCTGTTCTCTCACCTGCTAGAGACCATGTGGGCATCCTTTACTGCTAGTTATCAATAACTTTATATTAATACCATCAAGGCAGATTGGTGACAGTGAATCTATCAAGAGCATCTCAGATCATTCCATTGGATGCAACTAAAACTGATACCATGCTGCTCTGGTAAACAACACTGCCAAATATGCAAACCAGTTAATTTGCAATAACAGCAAGATGGTCCTTCTGTCCTCAAGTAGGACATGCTTGGGATAAAGTGATAATAACAGTTTAAACAAAAGAAAAAAGTCAGCATTCCTTTCCTATTCAATATAGGAATGGTTCCACACACTGGTTCCCTAATGGAAAAAGAGTATGTCCATTGTAATTTGTTATAGTTACAACTTAAATGACAAACCAGTGTCAACAAACTGCATCAGCACAAATTGAAAGTGTGAGGACTATACAAAAAAAATTTAAATAACAAAGTTTTTTAAAGTTGCTGCCATTCTCCCATGTAGAAGGCACCGTCCGCTTAGCTAGCTCATGTTAGCATTTGACTCATCCAACCTTCATGAGGAAATATTCCCAATCATATGCCCTCATCCACATCACCAAGCTAAGTGCAAAATCCCAACAGCTTGTGCCAAATGACTGACTCTCAAGTGAATTCCATGGATACAAAGATTTTCGGTTTTGAAAAACCCTCTCTCAGATGTGGCGTGGGTGGGTCTTGAACCCAGAACTCAAGTCCAGAGATGAGACAGTGGTACTGTCCCTAACAGGGAAGATAACGTAGTGAAAGAATCATTTGTAAATCCAGTAAACAGTGAAACAACTGCAAATGCTGGAAGTCAAACAAAAAAAAACAAAAAGATTTTTTTTTCTTGAAGGAGGGTCTAGGCCCAAAACATCAGCCTTCTTGCTCCTCCGATACTGCTTGGCCGGCTGTGTTCATCCAGCTCTACACCTTATCTCTGTTGGAAAAGCTCAGCAGGTCTGGCAGCATCTGTAGAGAAATCAGTTTACATTTCAGGCCCAGTGACTATTCCTCAGAACTCATTATTTTGAGGAAGGATCACCGGACCTGCAACATTAACTGATTTCTCTCCAAAGATACTGTCAGACCTACTGAGCTTTTCCAACAATTTGTGCTTTTGTTATTTATAAAAAAAAAAACAGGGCAGACAGTTAATTACTCCCATTAACCTAGATACAGAATTACAGGTGGAGACAATACATTCATTTACCTGGATGGATGATATTCTTCATTTCCTTCCATAGTTTGTACTGTAATGGACCTTTGTATGTTCCCAGGCACACATTCCCAGGCAGAACAGTGGGTATCTCTTCAGAAAGCCTGCTAACAGGATGATGTGTTAGAAAATACAAGGGCAGAAGAACACAAGACAAGACTAGGAGTGGTAGGCTATACATCCCTTTCAGCCTATCCAATGTTATAACAATAGGTTGTGTCATCTGGAGCAAATTTAGAACAGCAACAAAAACAAAGTGAACATCTTTCAAAGACAAAGAATATTGGCCACAGCAGAAATGTTGCTGAGAACAAGCTGTGTGGCTAGCATCTTAGTCTACAAAACTTAGATTGCAGGATCTAATTTAAAAGTGTAATAAAAGCTGAGGAATTTGAACAGTCAAATCTGCCTGGAGCAGCAGCTTTTCTCAGTTTCTCTCAAAATGGAGTGTTTTGGAATTGGATAAACAACTGGAAGACACCATCAATACAAATGGAGGATTTCTAAACAGGAGAAATATTGTTGCAACCAGAGTCCTTTGGGAGCACCTGGAATCTACTCCTGTTGTCACCAAAGAAATGCAGCCAGTCACATTTGATCCCAATAGAAATCCCATTGCCAATAGCTTATCAGCAAGGTCAATCTGGCCAGAGACTGATATTTCACCAATCTGTGAATTCAGCCCCCTCCATGCCCTGGTTAGCTGTTAATTTAACAAAGTACCTTTAAGCTAACACTCGCTCTGTCAGAGTACAGTGGGCGTATGTACACCTACTGGAAAACTGATTCAAGAAGGCAGCTCACCACTTTCAACAGCAAAGAATTAATTGAAACAAAACTGAAACATTATTTGGCCCAGGAGAAAAGTTTTTTCCTCTGAAAGGTTCTTTATATCCATTTGGAAGCAGTTAAAAAGGTTAATGAGCTTTAACTTTCCTGGATGAGGTTGGGTTGCAATAAGTTAAATTCTTTAATCAATCATGTTTTGACTTATTTCTAAAGACTGAACCACATCAAGTCTCAATTGTAAATATCACCTCCCTTACCAAAATTTAAAATCTAACCAACCCAGTCAACAACATCCAAAAACAGTGAATTAAACTGCAGCTGATCTTCTACCTCACCAACTTTTGTACTCCTTCCCCATCTGCAAACATGCAGAACGACCGAGTATCAAAAAGCTTTGTTTGCGTAGTGTTCTAAGTCCAGATATTTCTCATCCTAGTCCAAGAACTCATCCACTTAGCCTAGAACAATGAAGCCTAGTTCTTGACACTGCATCCAAGAATAGACTGCCTTTTAGCATCTAACCTGGTCATAGACCCTAATTGAAGGTGGATAATAGCTTGCTTTACTACATTCAAAAAATGTCTAACATAGTCGCTTCAAATGAGAATGCAAGTCGGGAAGTGAAGTGAACTTTTGTTGCACTGTGCTTAAGTAAATGGACACTGGTAGGAGACTAAAGCTTTGCATAATATTCTGTGTGGTCACACCAAAAGCCACATACAATTGTTGTAAGATTTCCTCAATGTGTAACTTCAATTCTCTGCAAAAACAAAAAAAAGCCAACGCTGTAGCAAGTGAGTTGGTACAACAGGATTTAGATCCTGGAACATTTACCCAAGCAATGGTGAATTAAGAATGCATACCTGTCCCTCCAAGAACTAACTTCCTTGAAGAGAGAAACAAAAAGAAAAAGAAAAAAAAAGTTAGTTTCAGTGTATTTCCAGAGAACAAAAAAACATAGACAAGAAAAACATCTCGAAACAGTGCACTTTCAACAATTCCACATTCACAGTGCACCGGACACAACAGATCAACACTTTGCTTACTAAGTTTGGCAAAATATTGTTCTATGTTATATCAAGTTCTTTTTGAATAGTTATTGAAAATATTGAAGTATTAAGAATAGGCCACAAAGATTCTGGTCATTCCATTTGACTATTCAAATAGTGGTTTGGTGATACAAAGCTTTAAGTCTTGCAAAAAGGAAATGTGTCACATCTGTGCACATCAGGACCATTCATTGGGTAGCTAGTGGACTAATTGGTAGAGTATGGCAGTAGTGAATGTAGCAGTTAACATTTAGCCATGCCAGGCTTTGTTTCAATGCTAATTAGACAGGTTGACTGATTATTCACAGCAATACCTCAAGAGATGAGCCAGAGAAATGGTCGGCACCTATTTTACCATGTTAAAACAAATGCAAAAAGCAGGCCTTTATATGCAGCTTACAGTACATGCAAGTGCACCGCACAGAGATCAACTACAATCCTAAACTGTTTGCATAAAGAATTACACTGACAGCCAGGATTATTTAGCAAGTGTTGTCTCAATTGTAGAATCGCATCCAACTTTGGACACTGGTGCAGATTTTGAAAGTACAAAGTGGTTGGGCATGTTGGAGGTGGTCCATACTTTCCTCATTGTGAATAATCAAAGCTGTTTAGCACAATCCACTAGTCTTCAGCACATACAGCTGACAGGTAATATCACACTGGGTGAAGAAACAGGTTTGGGATGGGGACACAAGGCAGCACAGACTCAATGGGCTGAATAACCTCTAAGTGTGCCAGACTATCCTGAGTCTCAAAAAAATTAACACAAGTCACACCTCATTCATCTTGCTGTTGGTCAGAACTGCAAGTATTTGTCAGTGACCAGTTTCCACACTTGTCATTTTTTAAATAAAAAAATTGATGAGATTGAGGGGGTGGGGGCAGGGGAAGAAGTCCATACCCTTCACTAACAAGTCAAATCAAAATGGTGAGGCAGAGCCCAGAAGAAACTTCTTGGGTTGCTCAGTGATTAGCACTGTTGCCTCACAGCATCAGGGACCTGGGTTTGATTCCACCTTCAGGTAACTGTGTGCAGTTGGCACATTTTCCCCACGTCAGCATGGGTTTCCTCCGGGTGCTCCAGTTTCCTCCCACAGTCCAAGTATGTGCAGGTTTGGTAGACTGGGCAATTTAGCGTGGCCAGTGTCTAGGGGTGTGTAGACCATGGGGATTGCAACATGACAGGGAATGGGTCTGGGTGGGATGCTCTTCAGAGGGTCAGTGTGGACTCGATGGGCTGAGTGGCCTGTTTCCACACTCCAGGGAAGCTGTGATTCTACGATGCAGATGCTGCAGTCAAGATGAAATTCAGCGGGGAGAAATAGGGGCAAAAATGAGAAGGTGGTGACTGAGATAAGAGAATATAAAAACTCTGAAACCCTCAGACATCAGCAACAGATTTAAAAAAAAACATGCCTACACAATTTTTTTGTTGGTGGGCCACCCAGAAGCTAAGTTACAGATGTTCACAATCCCCATGCTATTGGGGATATCGGAGAGGGGAACAGATCACCTGAAACCAGAATCAATGGGGGTGGGGAGGGGGCAGGTAGTAAAGATCAGGAACTTACCTTAAGAGATGCCAAGTCACCTTGATCCAATTTGGCCTCAATACTCAAGGTGTCCTGCTCAGTGGAGAAGAGTATCGCCCGTAGCTTTGTAAGGTTTCCTTCCATTCCCGCCAGGTGGCCTTCCACATGAGCCTCCAGCTTCTCCAGGAGCTGTTGTTCGCACTCATTGAGGAATCTGTGCAGGTCAGCAAACTGCTGAGCAATGTGGCAGATCAGACTGCAACCCATATCCTGGAGGTGAAGAGCAGGAATTAAAAACACATGTGGATTGTTTTGGCATTCAGACAGGATTGTTAGGAGAATCAATTGTTTGCGTTCAAGCAAGCTAGGCATTAAAAATATATTTTTTTTAAAAAAAACTCAATATCGTCCAAGGTGAACAGTTGGGAAATGCACACCTTGTGGTGTTGGGGGCCCAATTGTTCAAATCAGTTCAAGGCTCATTCCACAAATTTCAGATCAAAATCAGCACCAGCAGGGTATTTGAGGGGGATGACAATGTCAGAGGGACCACTTTATAACTGGGTTGGAAGGACTGTTGTTCTGATCTTTTCTTCCTCTACTTTCTCATTTGTTCCTATGAACTGTAATGCTGGACATCTTTTTCTCTCCCTAAGAACTGGTACTGAAAAATCTGAACCTGAGTGCGTGTACCCGAGATGGTGATGTAAGTGGCAATTTGTAACCTTTTCACTGTACTCATTTGAGTATGTGACAATGAAGCTAACTCAATTATGGATAAGTTATTGAATTGGAGGCCCTTTCTGGATGTTAAAATGCATCAGCAATATTGAAGAGCATGTAATTGCCCTAATACTCTCATCAACAGTTCTTCATCAAAACAGCACAGCAAACAATTGGTCATCTATTCAGTCCACTACCACCATGCAGTGTGCCAGCCCCATTGCAGGAAAACCTACATTTATCCACGTTTTACAATTCTGGGACATATCAGCACGAAACGTACAAGACCATATGGCCCATTGAGAATGCTCTGCCATTCAATCATGGAGAGTGTTTCTTTACCCCATTTTCCTGCCTTCTCCCTGTAACCTTTGATCCCTTACTAATCAAGGACCTCTGTCTGAAAACATATTCAATGACTGGCCTCCAGAGTCTTCTGCAGTAGCGACTTCCAAAGATCCACCAGTGGAGGAAGAAATTTCTCCTCATTTCAGTTCTAAAGGGTCAGCCTTTCACTCTGACACCATGCCTTTGTCTCCTAGTCTCTCCTAATAGTGGAAACAACATCTCCACATCCACACTACCTTGGTCTCTCAGTATTCCTCATGTTTCTGTCAGCTCCCTCTTTATTCTAAATGCCATTGAGTACAGACTCAGTCACCAACCACTCATGACAAATCCTTCAGCCCCAGAATCATTCTTGTAAACCTCCTCTGGAACCTTCCAACACCAGCACATCCATCTTTAGATACTGGGTCCAAAGCTACTCAATCCAAATGCGGTCTGACCTAAGCCAGATATACAGCCTCAGCAGTACATCCCTGTACATGCATTCTAGCCCTCTCGAAATGAATGCTAACATCACATGTCTTACTAACCACCAACTGAACCTGCATGTTAACCAAGAGAATCCTGAACTAGGACTCCCAAGTCCCTTTGTGCTTCAGATTTTCAAAAGTCTTTCCCCATTACAGACTAGTCAATGCCTCTATTCTTCCTACCAAAGTGCATAACTTCACACTTTACAAGACTGTATTGCATTTGCTTCTTCTCTCTGCTAGCCTCTCCTAGTCCTTCTGTAGCCTCTCCACTCAACTCTACCCATGACCAATGTCACCTGCAAACATTTCACCCAGATTGTAATGTATAACGAATGTGTGGTCCCACTGACCCCTGCAGAACTCCATGAGGCTGCCATCCTGAAAAAGACCAATTTACCCCCAGAAACTCCTGCCATTGCTGCTCCACTCCAATCAACTCTGGCCAACTCCTCCCTCGTGTCTTTTGAGTAAAGGTATCTAATTGTAATATCATTACATCTGACTCCAGTATGCACCCTGCAGTTTGAGTGGGGAGAAGCTATCATATCATGGTCACCACTCCACAGAGATTCCTTTACTTTAAAGCTCCCTCATTAGACATCAACAACCCAGAATTGCCTGTTCCCTAGTGGGCTCTATCACAAGCAGCTCCAAAAGACATTTCATACATTTCACTAATCCCTTTCCTTGGGATCCATTAAAAGCCTGATTTTCCAGGTTCACTAGCACATTGAAATCCCACATAATTATTGTAATCATGCTTTTCTGATATGCCTTTTATATCTCCTGATTTAGTTTTCTGACCCACATTTTGTGGCTGCTGGGAGACCTGTACGTAACTCCCATTAGGGAGTTTTTTTCCCCTTACACTCAACTCTACAACAGGTTTATGCCTTCCAACCTGAGACCACTTTGCTAGCGATTTAATGTCATTCCTTACTAACAAGGCAGCCCTGCCCCCTCTGCCCATCCTTTCAATAGGTAGCCACTGTCATTTTGCCAAAGTAACAACACAGGTATTGCTGTACTAATACACTATAGGCCGAGGCCAACTCTCTGGCCAGGAGTTCAAATCAAATTAAAATAAATCCAGAATGTAATGCAGTGACTACAAGATTAATGACAGTTGTAAAAACCTATTTTGTCCACAAATGTCTTTTCAGGATGGAAACCCATCTACACCTATTCTGGTCTATGTGACTCTTGACCCAAAGCAAGATGATAGACTCTTAACTATCCACCAAGAGGGCCTAGCAAGACACTTGGTTCAAGAGCATTAGGGACAAGTGACAACCTGTGAGCCAATTAAAAACAAAAATTAACTACATAGAGTCATACAGCATGTTAACAAACCCTTCAGTCTAACCAGTCCATTCTGAACATAACTCCAAACTAGTCCCACCTGCCTGCACTTGGCCCATATCTCTCCAAATTTTCCTATTTATGTACTTATCCAAGTGTCTTTAAACATTGTAACTGTATCCACAGCCACCATTTCTTCTGGATGTTCCTTCCACATTAGAACAAAAAAGTTTGCCCAACCCCAATATCTTAATCTTTCTTCTCTCACCTTAAAAATACAACTCCGCCCCCCCCCCCCCCCCGCAAATTGAAATCTCCCACGCTAATGAAAAGACATTTGACATTAAGCAATCCATACCCCTCATGATTTCATAGGCCTCGAAAATCACCTCAACCTCCTATGCTCCAGTGGGAAACATCCCAGCCTATACAGCCTCTCCTTATAACTCAAACCCAGACACATCTTGGTAAATCTCTTCTGAACCTTCTCCAGTTTAATATCCTTCCTATAGCATGGCAACCAGAACTGGACTGAAGAAAATGTTGCAAACCTTTGAGCATGGTCTGATCAGACTAACTTACCTTGATCTGTGCAATCTCCAGCCCTTGTTTCTGCACCACATCTTTTAAAGAGACCACCTTCTGGTTGAGAGTGTTTAAGAGCACCGCACCTTTATCCTGCAGGGGAAGGCAGGAAGGAAACAGGTTATAACTGGAAAAACAAGGTGTATATCTGGATGAACACAGCAGGCCAAGCAGCAGAGGAGCAGGAAAGCTGACGGTTCAGGTCTGGACCCTTCTTCAGAAAAGTTATAACTGGATGCTAGACTAGATACAGTAAATTGGTAAGTTGAGGAACAATCAAAATCCCTCTGATAAAACAGAATCCTTTCATCAGAAACTCTGCAGTGCAGATAGAGGCCATTCAACCCATCAAGTCTGCACCAACCCTCTGATCAGGATTTCACCCTATCCACATTGCCCATGGCTAACCCTCCCAACCTGCAATACCCTGGGCACTTTGGGGTCACTTAGCATGGTCAATTCACTTAATCTGCACATTCTTGGACTGTGGGAGGAAACTCAAGCACCCAGAGGAAACCCACACAGGCACAGGGAGAACATGGAAAGTCACCCGATGCTGGAATTTAACCCGGGTCCCTGGCACTGTGCTAGTCGCTGAGATACCATGTTACCTGAACTCCCAGCCTCAACATGGGCTCAAACTCCCAGCCTCAAGGTGAAGCCTAGTGCTGTCTGTAATGAAAGGACTTATTCTGAACCCTTACTTCAGAAAGTGATTGCTGGACTTTATCATTGCTTTATTTTTCCCTAAAGGTTTTTCTCCTGAGAATTTGTATCATAGAATCCATACAGTGTGGAAACAAGCCCTTCAGCCCAACAAGTCCACTCCTGATCAGAGCTTTCCACCCAGACCCACCCCTATAACCCACCTAATCTACAACTCCCTGAACATTATGTGGCAATTTAGCATGGCCAATCCACCTAGCCTGCACATCATTGGACTGTGGGAGGAAACCAGAGCACCCAGAGGAAACCCATGCAGACACAGGGAGAATGGGCAAATTCCACACAGGCAGTCACCCAAGGGTGGAATCAAACCTAGTTCCCTGGCGCTGAGAGACAGCAGTGCTAACCACTGAACCACCATGCCCCCCTTGAACTTAAGGCTGTGTACACAACTACCTTGGCACCCAAGACAGCATCATAAGTGACAACTGTAAACTTTTCACTGTATTCACATGAGTGAACGTGACAATATAGCTAATTTTTAACATTAACACAGCCCACCTTTGTTTGGTGAATGGAGGAGATGCAGACTCCCCTCCTTTTCCCTCCCTTTGGGATGCCATACCTTGCAGGATGCCAGGAATTCTGCCCGCTCCCTGAATCGGTGCTGCTTGTGAAGTTTCGAGTCCCTACACACCAGGCAGACGATCATACCATCCGTCTCACAGACCAGGGTCAGCTTCTCCTGGTGCTCCGGGCACAGGCGCCTCTCATCCTCAGTCAGGTCCTGCTGGGGGGTGGTCAGCCGGCGAATCTTATCCACCACGTTCCTTAGTACACGGTTGGGCTGCAGCACCAACCTCTCGGTACTCACACCGCACAGTGGGCAACAGACACTGCCACCCTGGGCCTCCCTGTAGGACTCAATACAAGTGCGGCAGAAATTACGGTCACAGTCCACCAGAACAGGCTCCACAAATAACTCAAGGCAGAGAGAACAGACAAGGGCTTCCCCATAATTCCCATTCTCCATATCATAAGACATGAGGCAATCCCCAACTTACACAAGCACCACACCCCTGGACTTCGCCAACTCTTTACTTTTAAAGTAAAAGCTGTGGGGCTCAAATGAATCAGGTGCATTCCCTTCACCTGAATGTGTTTTACTGGATGCCGTTTCCAACTCATTGAGGTTAATTCACTTTCCAAAGCAGCAGACGAGATTAATCTGGGAAAAGGGAGAGCAGGAACTCAGCTCTGACGATGATTGACAGATTCAGAAAGTCACCCATTAACCCCGTCTGCAATCTGTTGACTGGAAGCCTTTTGGAGGAAAGATTACCCCAAACCATCCAGCAAAGAAGGAATGCTCCCACCCTTCCTGACGTTGGACTGGATAAATCAGTGTAATAGATACTCTGTTGAGATCTGATGGCCCTCTTGTGGCACAGTGCTAGTGTCCCTACCCCTGGACTAGGAGACTCTCTGACAGTGCGGCGCTCCCTCGGCACTGACCCTCCGACAGCGCGGCGCTCCCTCG